TGCCCCCCTCCTCCTCCGCCCTGCCCTTCTCCTCCTCCTCCTCCTTCGCCGCCGCCCTGTCCTCGTCCTCTTCCTCCTCCTCCGCCGCCCTTCCTCCTCCTTCCTTTCCTCCTCCCTCTCCTCCTCCAGTTTCCTTTCTTCATCCCCCCTTCTCGCATAATCTGTGCGGGGAATCGGGGCTCGCAGCGCCGCGTCGGCATGGGGCTTGCTGCTCAATTTTCCCATCAGTGGTATGCGGCCCACCTTTCTCGCCCTTTTCCTTTCCTCCTCCTCGCCGTCCTCACCCCTTCCTCCTCGATGTCCTCTCCCTCCTTCTCCGTCGCCTCCTCTCCTCCTCATCCTCCTCATCATCATCCTCCTCATCATCAACATCACCATCACCCTCACCACCATTTTCAGCACCATCGCCATCATGATTACCACTACCATCGTAGTCGTCGTCAGCAGCATCATCATCATTCCTGTCTTCGTGGGGCTTTGTCGCCCCCGTTGTCGTTATCGCCGTCGTACTCCTCTTTCTCCTCCTGGTGGCCCCGATGCCGCCCGTCACCGTAGATCAATGCAGTGCGTGAGAAAGAGAGCGGGGGGGAGCTGAAAGAAGAGGGATGGTCGTGGAGGCATAGTCGCCCCATCGTGTTCCGCTTCCCACTTCTGACGGCACCGATCTCCCGAGCTGGGGCCGACATCGCTTCGGAGCAATTGCAAGCTCTGACCAGTGCACTTCTTGCGAGGGCCCCCAGTTTGCTCAAGTCCGAGGAAGCGCGAGCGGGCGGACCCGACGACCCTGCAGAGCGGGCACCACCCAACCCGCCCCACGCCGCGCCACGGACGATGCGTCCGAGGTTCGGTCCGCCGTCGTGCCGTCGTCCTCTTCCTCCTACCTTTCCGCCTCCTCCTCCTCCTCCTCCTCCTCCTCCACTCCTTCCTCATCCTCCTCCTCCTTCTCTTTCTCCTCCCTCCTCGCCGTTGCCACTGTGGCCCAAGAGCCACAGCGGCCTTTGCTTCTGTGATTTCTGCTGCGCTGCGTGGTTTCTCGTTTCATACCTTCACATGCTGTTCTCGCATGTTTTCTCTTCACGCCATTTCGAACTTGGTAAGCACGCGAAGCTTACCGCCAACAATTCGCATGCGTTCGCTCTTGCTGCCGCTGCTCTACACGTTCTGTGTGACGAGCTTGCCACAGATATTCCGGCATCAATTGCACATGTGGATTTGACCATGGAGTGGACGCCTTGGCCCAAACAATGTGCACCAATTACATCTGAAGCTGAATGATGGGCCCCGCCCAGAGAAACGTGGTCTGACGCACGCCGAGGACGCTGGCTTCCTCGATGCCCAATCTGTCGCCGCCGCGCCTGCCGTACGTGATCGGGGAACGTCTGCAAGGCTTTGTCGATGGACTTCTCCTGCCGCGTAGTGCAGGAATGTAGGATGCCACGGAGCTTGGGCGCAGGAGCTTGCGCCGTGTTGTGAAGCAGCCGAGGCGAGCGTGGCCAGGCGTGACGCTGCTCTGTGGCCGTCGCTGCCTCACGCGGCAGATCGGCGCGCAGCCTGTCATCATCATCATCATCATCATCATCATCATCATCATCATCATCATCATCATCATCATCATCATCATCATCATCATCATCATCATCATTATCATCATTTGCACCTGAATTCACCCCAGGGGCGGTTCGGAACGTCGACGACTTGAGGAGGAGGAGGAGGAGGAGGAGGAGGAGGAGGAGGAGGAGGAGGAGGAGTTGGTGCACGAGGATGGCCCCCGCGGTCGCCCCCGCCGCGGAGCTCCCCTCCGCGGACTCCGCGCCTCAAGAGGCGCCGTGGGCCGCAGGCCCCCAGCGTCTGCGGCGAGGCTGTGCACCGCTCCGAGGCTGTGCAGGCAACCCGCAGCAAAAAGCTGGGCAATCTTCCCAAAGGTGCCCCTGCATCCTTGCCCCTTCGGCCCATCCTTCGCGACGGTCGCTGGCCGCGCCCCGCTCGCAAAGTGTCGACATGGCCTTCCAAGGACCTTGCATCCTCACCGCGCGTCCGTATGACATGGGTTGACTGTAGCCGGTGATGTAGTCGCCGCCGGCTTCTTTTTCTGCTGGCACGCTCGGGTCCGAACTGGTTGCAGACGGCGCTGGCGCCTCTGCACCCTCGCACCACTCCGAGCATGCAGCTGATGACGTACCAGGCCACTTTCGAGCTCCACTTGCTGCTGCAGGTTGTCCTTCCCGCAGTGTGTTCGAGCCCACAGTTGCTGACACTTCCCGTATGCCGACTGCAGCTGCAGCGCTGTAGCTGATGCCCCGAAGATGCAGCGCAGTAGCTGATGACAATCGCTGCCTCCTCGTGCCTGCCCCACCGTCTGCTGCTACCGTCCACCTTTCCCGCGCCGCCTCTTTACTTGTGCTTCACGCCGCGCCTGCAGCTGAGGACGTTCCATTTTTTGGGCTGCCGCTGTCGGCCCTTCGCGCGCGCCTCCCTGGGCCTGCAGACGCGGACGTATGAGGCGCCATCTGCTGCCACAGTCCACTCTGCTTCCACGCACGTCGGCGACGACCTCGGCCCGTTGTCTGCTACCTTTGCTGCCTCTTCCCGCAGGACAAGGCCTGTAGCCGATGGCGTGCAGCGCCTACCGAGCGCTGCTGCTGTTGGCCCTTCCCGCACGCACGGTGCAAGGGCTGTCAGCATTGCGTGGTGTGCCAGATTCTGCCAACATGCCTGAGTGCACCACCATTCGTGCCACCTGCGCAGCTGTTCTTTGATAAGGGCGTTTGGCTGCTGCATCCTGTGGCCTGCTGTTCTCCGGGCCGCTTCTTGTTTGGCCTCGCCGATGGGGCGGGCCTAACGGGATGGGACATGCCTGTTGTTTCTAGTGGTTAGACTGGCTGCGCGTGGAGGGTTTCTCCGAAGGGCTTAGGCGACCCGTCCTCCTCCTCCTCCTCCTCCATCCTCCTCCTCCTCCTCCTCCTCCTCCTCCTCCTCCTCCTCCTCCATCCTCCTCCTCCTCATCCTCCTCCTCCTCCTCTCCTCCTCCTCCATCCTCCCTCCCTCCTCATCCCTCCTCCCTCCTCCCATCCTCCTCCTCCTCCTCCTCCCCCCTCCCCCTCCCTCCTCCTCCCTCCTCCTCCTCCCTCCTTCCTCCTCCTCCTCCTCCTCCTCTCCTCCTCCTCCTCCCCCTCCTCCTCCTCCTCCTCCTCCTCCTCCTCGGGTCGCCTACGGCCCCGGGGGAAGCCGTGCAGCTGCGCGCTCTGCGCGAGCGCGCCATGCCGAGGGCATGACGTGGCCTGCTTGACGACGCTGCGACGCGAGAGAGGCCAGAGGAGCAAGCCGAGCCCCCTCCGCCCGCGGACGCGTCGCCGCGGCCGGGGGGCGCGGGGCCAGCCCGGGGGGCCCGCGGGCAGCGGGCAGCGGGCTCAGGCCACAGTGCTCAATTTTCTCGTCCTCCTCCTCCTCCTCCTCCTCCTCCAGTTTTACCGCCCTCCTCCTCGTCCTCCTCGTCGTCCTCCTCCTCCTCCTCCTCGTCCTCCTCCTCGTCCTCGTCCTCCTCCTCGTCTTCCCCTCCTCCTCCAGTTTTATCGCCCTTCTTGGGCCTGTCGTGGAGCAGGCTCTCTCCTGCTCGTTTCGGCGGCGAGCGAAGGAGGGGAGGCGAGAGGGAGAAGGCCTTCTCGGAAGGCGGAGCCTTCTCAGAAGGCCTGCGGCCCTCTGAGGGGTTTTCCCCGTCGTCGGGGCAGGCCCGGGAAACTTCTCGGCAGGCCGGGAGGCCTCCGAGCCTTCTGAGCAGGCCCGCGCCTTCTCGCTTCCCCCCCTCGCTCGCCACCGATTCGTGGCATCGCCAGAGCTTCTCGCTCCACCCCCTCGCTCGCCACCGATCCTTGGCATCGGCTTGACGATGTACTTGCTGCCCCTGCTCCCCTGGAGGCTGGCGTCTCCGCCGCGCCTGTCCCCCGGGCGCTGCGGCCGCCCCTGCAGCGAGCTGGCGTCGCGCAGGGGCCGGGCTGTTCTGGCCTGCTGCGTCGCTCCGACGGGAAGTCCGGCGCTTCCGGGCGTCACGGCAGGATTTGAATCCGCGCAATGGCGCCGACCGCGTGCGCGATCGGGCCGCGCTCCAGTCGGACCAGGTCCGCCCAGGTCTAGCGGGAGCCTGCTGTCCTGTGGAGAGGCGGCCTCTCTTGCCATTCGTGAGGTCAAGCCCTTGACAGGTCCGTGGCCCTGGGCCCGTCCTCGCCGACACCTCAACTGCTACTTCCTCGTCCTCCCCCATCCCCCCGCATCACGACGATCACCAGATCACCGCCGCCGCCATCATCATCATCATCATCATCATCATCATCATCATCATCATCATCATCATCATCATCATCATCATCATCATCATCAGCAGCAGCAGCAGCAGCAGCAGCAGCAGCAGCAGCAGCAGCATCAGCATCAGCATCAGCATCAGCAGCAGCATCATCATCAGCATCATCATCATCAGCATCAACACCATCAGCATCAACATCAGCGTCATAATCATCGCCAGCATCATCATCAGAATCATCATCATCGTCATCATCATCAACATCATCCTCATCGCCAGCATCATCAGCATCACAATCAGCAGCATCATCAACATCATCACCATCATCATCATCACCACCATCAGCATCATCATCATCATCATCATCACCATCACCATCATCATCATCATCATCATCATCAGCATCATCATCAGCATCAACAACATCAGCATCAACATCATCATCATCACCATCATCATTTTCACCCTCCCAGTCCGCAGCCCTGAGCAACCCCAGTGTGGTTGCCTTCTTTCGGCCCGAGCAGCGTGGCCCGCCGATCGGGGATCGCCGTTCGATCCATACCCCTGCAGTGCCATGGCTGGGCAGGGCATGGACAACAAGCTCGGCCTCAATAGGCTTGACTGTTGTCCATGCCCCCGAACCGCCCACTCGTAGAGTTGTGGCGTGAGCAGGGGCATGGATCAGATGCCGACCGCCTAGCCGACGCCCATGGGGAGCCCGCCCGGCCCCGCCCCCGCGCTGGGCACATTTAGGCGCTGGAGGAAACTGAATGAGGAGGAGGAAATTGGAGGAGGAGGAGGAGGAAGAGGAGGAGGAGGACCAGTGTAAACCCAAGAGTCATCAACGATTTGGAATAACCCTCCCTCCAAGCTCCCTCTTCATAGGCCCCTACAACGGTTCATGTCCACTGTGGGAACAGCCTCGTTGGAAGGCAACTGTTTGAAGAGTCCGAAGCGTTTCCCCAAAAATGGTCGGGACTCCAACGCCACGGATCAACCTGACTGTTGTGCCTGGACGACCCTGAATCGTGCCAGAACGCCGTTCCTGGGACTTCAACACCGCGAACCAACGTAACTGCTGCACCCTCATAACCTTGAATCTTTCCAAAACATATTTTCAAGTATGTTCACCATGGGAGCCCGTGGAACCCCTTCAATTTTTACAACGGGGAGCGCGCGGCGCCAAGGCGAGAGCCACATGTTGAAAAGGAGCCGCCCTCAAGCCGTGAAGCTCTTGCAGTTTTTATTACACATATGATATAGGTATATATATATATATAGCCACATAAAAACAACACGGATGTGCGCGGCGCCAATGCGAGAGCCACGTTTTGAAAACCACACGCCTTCAATCCGTGAGGCTCATGCAAGTTTTTCAAGAGAATGTGCGCGGGGCCAAGGCGAGAACCACATATTGAAAACCACCCGTCCTCCATCCGTGAAGCTCTTGCAATCCATTATAAGATTGATGTGCGCGGCGCCAAGGCGAGAGCCACATTTTGAAAACCATCCGCCCTGAATCCGTGAGGCTCTTGCAACTGTTTAAAGCGAGCGTGCGCGGCGCGAAGACGAGAGACACATTTTGAACACCGCCCGCCCTCAATCCGTGAAGCTCGTCCAGTGTTCGTTTTATAAAGAATAACGAATGTGCGCGGCGCCACGGCGAGAGCCACATTGAAAATCACTCGTCCTCCATGTTTGAAGTTGTTCCCAATCTTTGAGCTCAGGGTCATACGTGGTGAGGAAGTGTTAAGGCGAAATGCCCGACCCGCCCTTTCGACCGGCTTCAGGGTGCGACAGGGAGACCGCTCCCGTTCCCCTCCCTCCCCGGCGTTCCCCAAAGGCCCAGATGAACCCCCGCCCATGCCCCCTCCGCCCCGACGACTTTATTCCGCGTCGCGTCGCCCCCCCCCCCCTCTCCGCTCTCCTCACCCCCTCCCCCAGCGTTCCCCGCGGCCCAGTGGAACGTCCGCCCAGTGCCCCTCCGCCCACTTTATATCATGAAACTGCGCCTCCCAGGCGGATTTGTGCAGCGACATTATGTTTCCCCAAGGCAAAGAAAATTAGATTTCCAAATTTTTAGTTCTTTTTCTCGGAAGTTGTTGTGTCGCCGACCCGTTCCGATGTTGGGCATTCGGCGTGCGGGTTGCGCGCAGTCTCGGCTCCGCGCGTCATTTGAGCGGTGTCGCCCCCTGTCTGTTTCCGCCTCGTCTCTCTGCTACCCTTTTCCCTTTCACTTCAGAGCCGTGTTTTCGGGTATCGTTTCAGCTCGCGGTGGCCTCTTCGGGGGTCTTGTGCGCGGCGTGGGCCGTCTGGAAGCCGTCGTGGGTGTCGCGGACCCATCGATCGACGAATCGGAGCCCTCTTGGACCGTCTTGGGCGCCTCTTGGGGCCCTTTTGGATCGCTTTGGGGCGCCTGAAGGCCGCGCACAGGAGGAAAACCGTTTCTGGCCCGACCTGACCAGGGTACCTTACGTCCGGGGGCCCCTAGGGGCCGCCCCGCGCGCGCGAAGTTGAAATGTTGTGAGGCAGTCGCCGGAGATCTTCGCGCACCCCTGGCCCGTTGGGCCGGCGAGTTTCCCCCGAGAATCATGTGCAGTGTGCTGTGACGCGCGCGACGGACTGGCGGGCCAATTTTGACGACTCCTTCTCTCCTCTCCTGCTGCTGCTTCCTCATCTTTCCTCTTCCCGCTGCTGCTGCTGCTGCTGCTGGCCCTCCTGCTGCTGCTGCCGCTCCCTCTTCTCTTCTCCTTGCCGTCACTGATGTTGCACGTGCACGCCTGCTCGGCATGCCGGCGCACCGGGCAGGCCCGTGATTCTGCGCCCACGATTTCGCCCACGATCTCGGCCGCGATGTCGCCCGCGATTTCGGACTCGATTTTGCCCACGATTTCGGACACGATGTTGCCCGCGATTTTCGGCCACGATTCCGCGCCCCCTTCAAGGCCCCACGAAACCACCCACGATTTTGAACACGATTTTTTTATTGATTCAAGTACGAGAAAAATCGTGGTCAGAAAAGTTTGCCCGCGCGGAAGGGAGGCCAAAAAGGGTGGCAAAACCGGTGGCAAAACGTGCCCCCAATCGCGGCCGAACGAGGGGGGGTGGAGGGCGCTGCGGAAAGGCGGCGGGGGGGTCGGGGACGGGGCCAGGGGCTCCCTGGGGACCCCCGCTTGTTCGGAGAGGATGCCCTCGCGGCGGGCCGCGCTGCCTCGCGCGGCGGATTCGCGATTGCGCCGCCACGCCCGCGGCCGCTGAGGCTTCGAAGCCGACTCGCCGTCGGGTCCCTCTTCTCCGCCACGAGCGCAGCCGCGCGCCGCGGCCCCCGAGGGAGCGCGGCGGGCCCTCGCCGCGGTTGCGGCAGAATCTGCGCCGGCGGCCCGCTCCACGAGCGCCGTTCCCCAGGGGCGGAGTTTGCTCGACCTGCGCGGGCGCGAGATCCAACGGCCTCCAACGTCCCGCCAATTTCCCATGAGGCGCTCGCGCTCGAGCGCTTCTTCTTCATGTGCGGACTCCAAAGTGGCCCTTCCCTGTGGTCCGTCGGTCCCGCGCTGGCGCGTTCCATCGTGGATCAGCTTTGGGGGTGTTTCTCACGCGCAAGCTATCGGCCGCGCGGCAAGGGCGCGCGGCGCTTCGCTGGCAGCGCGCGCGCGCCGATTCCGTCTGCACTTCGACGGCTGCGCGCTTCGAGGTTCGCGCGGGCGCTATCCCCGACGACCGCGGGACGAAACGTCATCGCGTTGATGAGTTTCATGGCGGTCACGTGACGGCCTGGCCCGGAGGCCGCGTGGGTCGCGTCTCCGCGGCGCGCGTGGCATGATTCATTCAATGGCGGGGACAGGCGGCGCGCGGCCATTCTACGACGCATGATGCTATCCCGCGGCCCAGCTGGAGGAAAGCAACATGTTGGAAATTTTGCCATTTCGGAATCGTTGAGGCTCCTTGCGGGGGCTTTGCTCGGTAAGCGTCATTACGCGTTGCGTCGCCCCCCCCTCCACGGCGTTCCCCCGCGGCCCAGTGGGGCCCCCGCCCAGTGCCCCCTCCGCCCCGACCGTTTAATCCCGCGTCGCGTCGCGCCCCCCATCGCCGCCGCCTTGCCCCCTTCCCCGGCGCTCCCCAACGGAACCCCCGCCCAGTGCCCTCCCCCTCCGCCCCGACCAGCGTTCCCCCGCGGCCCAGTGGGCGCAGACACCCGCCCGCCGCCCCCTTCCCCAGCGTTCCCCAACGGCCCCGTGCCCCCTCCGCCCGACCTGTTCATTCCGCGTCGCGTCGCCCCGTTCCCGCGCGTCCCAGCGGAGCCCCCGCCCAGTGCTCAGTGCCCCGTCCGCCCCGACCGCTTCTGCGTCGCGTCGCACCCCCCTCCCCGCCCCCGCCGCCCCTTCCTCAGCGTTCCGCTGCGGCCCAAGTGGCCCTGTCCGCCCCGCCCGTTTTATCCCGCGTCGCGTCGCCCCCCCTCCCCAGCGTTCCCCTGCGCCCCAGCGGAACCCCCGCCGGTGCCCTCCGCCCCGACCATTTCATTCCGCGTCGCGTCGAGACCCCCCGCCTTGCCCCCGCCGCGCCCCCTCCCCGGCGTTCCCCAAGGGCCATGTGCCCCCTTCGGCCCCGACCGTTTTATGCTTTATGCCGCGTCGCGTCGCCCCCCTCCCCGGCGTTCCCCCGCGTCCCAGCGGAACCCACGCCCTGTGCCCCCTCCCTCCGCCCCGACCACTTGCTTCCGCGTCGCGTCGCACGCCATTCCTCGCCCCCGCAACCCCCTTCCCCAGCGTTCCCCAGCGGCCCAGTGCCCCCCTCCGCCCCGACAACTTTATTCCGCGTCGCGTCGCCCCTCCCTCCCCAACGTTCCCCCGCGCCCCAGTAGAACCCCCGCCTAGTGCCACCTCCGCCCCGACAACGTTATTCCGCGTCGCGTCGCAGCCCCCCTCCCCGCCCCCGCCACCCCATCCCCGGCGTTCCGCAGAGGCCCCGAGGCCCTGTCCGCCCCGCCCGTTTTATTCCGCGCCGCGTGGCCCCCCCCCTCCCCAGCGTTCCCCCTCGGCCCAGTGGAACCCCCGCCCAGGGCCCCCTCCGCCCCGACCATTCGATTGGGCGTCGCGTCGCACCCTTCCTCCTGCCCTCTGCCCCCCCTCCCCAGTGTTCCCCAGCGGCCCAGTGCCCCCTCCGCCCCGACGACATATTTCCGCGTCGCGTCGCGCCCCCAACATCCCCAGCTTTCCCCAGCAACCCAGTGGAACCTCCGCCCACTGCCCCCTCGGCGTCTCCCCGCCCCCCCCCCTGCCCCCTGCCCAGCATTCCCCAGCGGCCCAGGGAATCTCCGCTCAGTGCTCACTTCGCCCGGCCGCTTGCTTCCGCGTCGCGTCCCTTCCCGCCCCCTCCACCCCGGCCATTAGCTTCCGCGTGACGTCGCGCTCCCCTCCCTGCTCCCCTCCCCATGCCACGGCGCGCGTGCCGCTTGTTTCGCGTCGCCACCCCCTTTTTGTCCCCAGCTTTAGCTCTGTACCCAGCGGTCCCCTTGTCTTCGCCACCCTTCTGCCCCCATTCGCCGAGCGCCCCCTCCGCCCAGCCACTTGATTTCGCGTCGCCCCCCCCTCTGTCCCCAGCTCTGTCCCCGGCGGCCCCCTCGTCTTCGCCATCCCTCTGTCCCCAGCAACCGACTGCCCCTTCCGCCCCGACCATTTTATTTCGCGTCGCCCCCTCCCCTGTTTTCGGTTTTGTCCCGGCACGGCACGGCACCGGTCCTTCATCCGCAGCTCATATACGCTCTCCGCTGCCAGCGCGCCCCTCCGCTTCGGCCGCGTTCTTTCTGTCCGGCACGGCTCCGGCCCCCCTCCGCCCCGACCACTTTACTCTCTTGCGCAGCTGTGTTCGAGAGCTCGGACCTCTTTATTTTCGTCGTCTTCGTTCGTTCGTGCGTCCTCCCCCCTGGCCCCCCTGGCCTTGCTTTGGGTCCAGCCTTCGTGGCCCCCCTGGCCTTGCCCTGGACCCAGCCCCCCTCCCTGTGCCTTTGCCCTGGCCCCAGCCCCGCTCGCTCTCCTCTCCCTGGCCTCTCTGGCCCCTTATTGGCCTCCCTGGCCCCTGGCCTGGCCCTAGACCCAAACCTCCCCCGTTGCCCTTACCCAGCCCCCCTCGCTTTTCCCCGTGGCTTCCCTGGCCCACTCGTTCGTCCTTTCCCCTGGCCCCCGTGCCCTGGCCTTGCCCCCCAGCCTCCCTGCCCTCCTCCTTGGTCGTGGCCCCAGGCCCCCCCCTCCCGGCCTCCCTTCCCTCCCCCAGCTCCTTTGCGCAAGGGCCAGGGCACGCGTGCCACTTGTAAGGAATGGAGGAGGAGGAGGAGGAGGAGGAGGAGGAGGAGGAGGAGGAGGAGGAGGAGGAGGAGGAGGAGGAGCAGGAGCAGGAGCAGGAGCAGGAGCAGGAGCAGGAACAGGAGGAGGAGGAGGAGGAGGAGGAGGAGGAACAGGCGGAGGAAGAGGAGGAGAAGAAGGAGGAGGGCGCGGAGGAGGAGGAGGACGGGGAGGAGGACAAGGAGTGGTCAGTGCCCTTCGCGCCATCTCCCTCCGTCTTGACCTGTCCTCTCTAACAATTTGGGTAGGCACCGTGCATTGAATACAAATGTCTCCAAGCTTGTGCGTGTGTGTGAGGAGAAGGAGACGGAGGAGAGGAGGAGGAGGAGGAGGAGGAGGAGGAGGAGGAGGAGGAGGAGGAGGAGGAGGAGGAGGAGGAGAGGAGAGGAGCAGGAGCAGGAGCAGGAGCAGGGATGAGGATGAGGAGGAGGAGGAGGAGGATGAGGAGGAGGAGGGGGAGAAGGAGGAGGAGGAGAGGAGGAGGAGGAGGAGGAGGAGGAGGAGTAGACGGAGGCGAGGAGGAGGAGGAGGACGAGGACGAGGACAACTACGACGACGACGACGACGACGACGGCAACGACGACGACGACGATGACGACGACGACCACGACCACGACCACGACCACGACCACGACGACCGCGTCGACGACGACGACGGGCTGCCTTGCCCGCTCAGCACCGTCTAGGCCCTCGCGCGCGGCCCTGGCCCTCTGCGCGCTCGCCGCGCGCACCCGCGCGGCCCTGGACGCCTCCACGGCGCCGCCGGGCGTGCCCAAGGAGCGTTTCGGCGAGCAGGCGGCGCCCCTCGCTCGGAGAGCAGTACTCTCAGGGGCGGCCAAGAGTACGGTTAAGGCGGGCATGTCCCTCCACAGGAGGGATGTTCAAGAATAGTTTTAACACAGTTTGGTGACGATTTTCAGTTGTTTGTTCTTTCCTCCAACCATGCTGTGGTGTGGGGTCCTCGTTTTGAAGAGAGTGCCCCGCGTCTCACTCCTTCCTCCCGCTGCCCCCTCCCTCCCCGTCCTCCCGTCCCTGCCATTTTCCTCCGCACCAGTCAACCATTTCGGCACACTCCTCACACGCTTCGTGGCCCCATGAGGAGCTCCACCGAGAACCCAAGTGGCTGCACTCGCATGGCAGCGCCGCGCCCATTTCGGCACACCCCTCACACGTTTCGTGGCCCCAGGGGGAGCTGCACCGAGGGCCCGAGTGGATGCTCTCGCATGTCACCGCCGCGCCCATGTCGGCACACCCCTCACACGTTGCGTGACCCCGTAGGGAGTTCTTCCGAGGGCCCCAGTGGCTGCGCTCGCATGGCACCGCCGCGCCCATGTCGGCACACCCCTCCCACGCTGCGTGGCCCCATAGGGAGCTCCACCGAGAACCCAAGTGGCTGCGTTCGCATGGCAGCGCTGCGCCCATTTCGGAACACCCCTCACATGTTTCGTGGCCCCATAGGGAGCTGCACCGAGGGCCCGAGTGGCTGCGCTCGCATGGCATCGCCGCGCCCGTTTCGGCACACCCCTCCCACGTATCGTGACGCCACAGGGAGCTGCACCGCTGGCCCCGGAGGCGGCGCTCGCATGGCGCTACCGCACCCACTTCGGTACACCCCTCACACGCGTTCGCATGCGCCGGCCGCGCCCGTTTCGGTACGTCCCTCGCACGATGCGTGGCCCCGTAGGGAGCTCCACCGAAGACGATGCTCACAAGTGCGTTACTCACCACTGCACATGGCTGGGTCTTTCGCCAGGATTTTTTTGTTTAATTGCAATTTCTGGTTTTCGTTTGACTATGTGTGACGTCTCTTCCGAAATCTGCTTGTAGGAGGACGTGCCCGACCTGAGCCAAGAGTACGGTGGGCTCGCGTCGTGCCGACCGGCGGCGAACCCGCCGCCGGAGTTCAGCGTGGAACGCCGGCGGCGTCCCAGAATCGGTCGATGTTGAAATGACGAACCAACAACACACACCCACACCCATAGGGGGGTCGGAGAGGGCTATGGGTGCGTGTTGTCGGATGGGGGTCCCCGCTCGAACGGGAGCGTTCCCCAGGGTCCGACAACCCGCACCCATACCCATAGCCAGTCCTCCTCTCAACGACCCCCCTATGGGTATGGGTGTGTGTTGCTCGTTCGTCATTGAAAGATCTGACGTTCCG